TAGTACGTGTATGAGAGCACTATGCAAATGTAACAAATGCTAATTTGTGAATCTAAATGAGCAGCATATTCATTGTACTAGTCCTGTAACTGACCTAGTTTTGAAACTTTTTCAAAATAAAAAATGGGGAATAAAGTAATACCATATGTGCACACACACACACATCCACAATGAAAAACTATTTTAAAGTCACCAGACTGGCAAAAAGTGGAAACAACCATTTGGCATCATGTAGAAAAACTGAAGATGAGCACATCCTAGGAAGCAGCAATCAGAAATACTGGACTAGAAAAACTCACAGATCATAAAGTAGGTACAGAAATGCTCACAGCTGTATGTTGTAAAAACATTATGTTGAAAGTCACCCAACTAGCCATCAACATGGGGTATTTTCTCAGAAATACCCTATGTGTGTACAGTACCCTATGTAAGTTACAGTAGTGAGAAATGAACAAACTAGTGCCATATATAGTCCATAAACATAATGTTAAGGGAATGTTAAGGCAAATAAATACAGAAAGGCTCCTTTGAGATAAACCACACACACACACACACACACACACACACACACACACACATATATATGCATACACAAACACATATTTGGTACATTTATATTATAAAGGCAAAAGACAAGCAAGCTAAACCATGGTGTTTTAGAATATATACATATGTGGTTAAACAAAAAGAAAAGTTTAAAGAGAAACAAGGAAATGAAATTACAAAATTCCAGATAGTTGTTGCCCCTGGGAAGACAGAGGGGCCCCATGGAAGACTGGGAAGGCATTGGCAATTTCCTATTTTCAAAGGTAGATAGATGGTTTTCATATGTGTGGTCATTACATTATTGAATTTTAACCTGTATACATGTTATATATTCTTTAATAGAAAACATAAAAAAAACAAACCTTAGACCATACAATGACAGTATTTCTGGACACCCCTATTTTTGCTTCACAGTTTGAACAGAAGCCATTTTAGCTGAAGCAAATGAAATCTCTTAAATGACCAATGACTGAAACGAAAGACTGAAAGACATTCTCATCAAAACTACTGGTAGAAGACATAGGTCAAACATTTAGAATCAGTTAGAAGGGAAGTGGCTGAGCAGCATAATGCCAGACTTGTTTTTGGGTACTTGAGAGTACTATGATCACATGGGAAATAATACAATTAAGAACTGAAACATCATTCATAATATTTAAAATTTTAGGGCCCTGTTTTAAACATAATGTCCACAAGCTTCTTTGCATATAACCCAAGGGATGTATATCTGTTATATCATTAGAGTAATAAACAATTATAAATTAGAAAATACTTCATTGAGACTATAATTAAACTTGACTTGAAAACCAACTTCCAAACAAGCCAAGAAACAAACAAAAGTCCCCCCTCATGAAGTGTCCCCTAACTCCCTTCAAAGAGCCTTTCCTCTGGCACTTTATCATGTTTTGCCTTGTATTTTGGTTGTACACTTTATCTCTTTTACTAGATTATAGATTATGTATGTGTGTATATATATACAAACACACATACATACACTTTTAAATTACTTGATATTCTATGAAGAAAATGTACTCTGCCCAGGGCCTCCAAATATTCCTGTGCCAGGGGAATTTGAATCTTTGTTCTCATTAACAAAATAGAAAAGCCATAAAATCTATGAAACCCAACAAGGCACTGGGGGCGGGGATATGTCACCAAACCCCAAAGGTACTTCCTTATCAAATAATTTCTGAAACCTACGTATATCGATTCTTAGGGCTTTCTGATATTTTTCATTTCAAACTTGTAAATGTTTAACAAGCCATTCAACATAAATTTTATTGCCTTCTACCGAGAACAAACAGCTGTCAGGAAAATTATGCCTTCAGGGTAAACAAATAGGACAACATTTTAAGTTCTCATAGACTCTGAAGAGGACAAAGGTAGAAAAGACTGGAAAGAAAAAAATGCACACCAATCTTGAGCTAATTAGAAATCTTTACCACCCCACTCCCAGCAGACTCGCATAGAAATCTGAGTAGCATTAATCACCACATAATGCTGGCCTGTTTAATTTGTGTTCCAACCACAATCCTGCCAGCACTGGCTGAATTCTCCCAGCAGTCAGAGAAAGCTGCTTGCAAGAGGCCCTCACTTTAGCCTTGATGTGCGTGCACAGCTGCAGGCACTACAGTGAGGCTTACAGGCTACTGGGGGATCCCCTCTGGCTTTGGTGTGTCATAGTCTGCGGTCACAACACAGCCAGCACTAGGAATTGAGACTGATTTAGTCTCACTTTCCACATTTCTTTCTAGGGCTGTGGATAGTTTTCCTGATATTTTATTTCCTTTCCCATATAAAAATCTGGTGTGGACTTGTTAATGAATTTTTTTTAAATAGGAAAGAAAGTATCCAAAGAAAATGTCAGAGAAATGAAAATAAAACTGTGTTTATTTTTTAAAAGGGATTGCCAGAGTACACTTGATACTAATATAGAACTTCCTACTCGAGAGCTAGCTTAAAAAAGGCTCAAGAAGGCCTCATTCCTTTAGAAACCACCAATGTAAAAATTAATCTTGGGATTTCATTTGGCTGAGTGTGTGTCCAGTGACTCAGGAGGCTGAGGCAGAAGGATCACAAGTTCAAAGCCAGCCTCAGCAACTCAATGAGGCCCCAAGCAACAGCAAGATCTGGTTTCAAAATAAAAGGTCTGGAGATGTAGCTCAGTAGCTGAGCGCCCCTGGGTTCAATCTGATACCAAAACAAACATAAATAAAAATAAAAGGGAATAGGGATGTAGCTGAGTGGTTAAATACACCTGGGTTCAACCCACAGTTCAAAAAAAGGGGGGGGGGATGGGAGAGACTCATTCTTTTACAAACTACGAGTGTAAAAATTAATCTTAATTAATCTTAAGACTTCACTGGGCTGGGTATGGTGATGTACACCTGTAATCCCAGTGACTCTGGAGGCTGAAGCAGGAGGATGGCAAGTTTGAGGTCAGCTTCAGCAATTTAGCAAGGCCCTAGGCAACTTAGTGAAACCCTGTCTCAAAATAAAAAGGGCTGAGGATATTGGCTCTGTGGTTAAGTGCCTCTGGGTTCAATCCCTGCTACCAAAAAAAAAAAAAAAAAAGTTCACTGGAAGATTATTTATGTATACAATGAATGCTATAATTTACTTTTATTTGTATATGTGTATGAGTATGTGAACCCAGGAGTGTTTTGCCTCTGAGTTATATCTCTAGTCCTTTTTTTAATTTTATTTTATTTTGAGAACGGGTCTCAATAAATTGCCCAGGCTGGCCTTGAACTGTGATCCTCCTGCCTTAGCCTCTCAAGTAGCTAGGATTATAGGTGTATGCCACTGAGCTTAGTCTATAATTTGCTCTGTAATGTTACTTTGCACATTCTAGCTCAAAATTCTGAATTTTGAGACAGCTGTGCTAGGGATTCAATCTTTGCACATGTTAAACATGTGCTTTTATCACTGATCTACATCCCCATGCCACTTATATATACATATATACTTTTTTTGTTTTCTTTCTTCAGTGCTGGGGATCAAACTCGGGGCCTCGTGGTAGGCAAGTGCTCTACTACTGAACTACACTCCTAGTCCCATATATTTTTAAGAGTATTTTCATTTCAAATCATTGGAATCTAAATGAATTTTCTTTAATCTAAGATGCAGAAGATATGTTAATAAAAGAACCTTAATTCTGGGCTGGGGAGGTGGCTAAATAGTAGAGCACTTGCCTAGCACATGTCAAGCACTGGGTTCGATGCTGAGCATCACATAAAAATAAAAGTATTGTGTCCATCTACAACCAAAAACTATTTTTAAAAAAGAACCCTAATTCTGCTAGGTGTGGTGGTGCAGGCCTATAATCCCAGTTACTTGGGAGGCTGAGGCAGGAAAACTGTAAATTTGAGGCTGCCATGGGCAATTTAGCAAGACTCTATTATCAAAACAAATATTTAAAAAGAGATGGTGAGGTAGCTTAGTGGTAGAGCACTTCCCTAGCCAGCATGAAGCCCTGGGTTCCATTCCCAGTACTGCAAAAAAAAAAAAAAGAAAAGAAAGAACCCTAATTCTCCCTTAGCTGGCTAGCTGTGCCTCTGAATGCTTAGAGGAAACATGATACCTTATTGTGTACTCATTCTTCTTTAACAGGAGAAAGGGAGAACATACTAGCAAACACAGGCCACATTCTAGCTATGTAACTGCTAGGAGAGATGAGAGGTAACATATCCTTATGATTATACAACCCTTCCTTCTGCCGTTCATCTACCAGATGGCACAAAGAATGTGGCCTGTAGCTGGTAGCTAGTCCCTAACACACCATGGCTCACACCCTTAGCTGGGTGATGAAAAGACACAGTACGGGCAAAGGAAAGAACAGAGTTTATGATAAGTAAAAAAAAAAAGGTGGGGATTTCAATTATGTCTTTTGGAGGAGCACGGTATATTCTCTTTGAATCCATTTTTTTTTCCAAATTATTTTTTCTTTCTTTTTTTGTCTTCAGTACTATGGATTGAAACTAGGGCCTCACACATGCTAGGCAAGATTCTATTACTTGGCTAAATCCCTAGCTTTTTAAGATTTTATTTTAAGACAGGGTCTCATTAAATTACCCAAGCAGGCCTCAAACTCAAGATCCTTCTGTCTCAGCCTCCTGAAATTAAAGGTGTGTATCACAATGCAGCTCTGAATCCAGTTTTGATAAGACTTTAGGATAAGGTGCTACACTTTGAGCAACAATAAATAGATTAGAGTGGAAATTAGGGTCTAAGGCTGCAGTGGAATGCATTTTATGGTCACCATTGATTTGGTCCTGCTGATAATAACTAAGTGCTCAGAAATTGTATTGTTCCTCCACTAAAAAGTCCGAGCTGGAGATGCAACTAAAAACAAACAGAAAAAGCAAGTAAAACAACAGGGTTATCAAATATTTTACAAAACCATAGAGAAACCACACATTTAAACCAAAAGAAATAAAAATGATGTTTCTTACCTTCTGAAAGTTCTCCTTCCACAAATCTTCTATGACTATGTATCCTCGTAAACCCCAGTCATATAACTTCTCTCCAGTGACCTTGAAATGAAATGGAAAAGATCTATTGCTATTCCATACATGACTGGTGAGGAAGAGAATTCCCTGTTTTCAGGAAGAGCTGCATTTAAGCACATGACCACTACAGGAAGTCTTAGGACATACACATTAAAACTGAGTAACATAAGCAAGTAAAGAGTAAGAATGAAAAAAAAAAAAAACAAAGAAATAAGAGGAAAAAATTAAAACAAAAAGGTAAGAATGATAGTATAGGAAGAAAAGTAGTCTGGGGCTGGGGTTGTGGCTCAGTGTTAGAGGCCTTGCCTGGCATGTGTTGAGGCCCTGGGTTTGATCCTTAGCTCCACATAAAAATAAATAAATAAAACAAAGTTATTGTGTCCATCTACAACTAAAAATAAAAATAAAAAAAGAAAAATAGTCTGGTTGTATAAGTTATCTTTTTAAATAATTTGCTATAAATTACAGGTATATATATTTTTGTGGTACTAGGAATGGAACTCAGGGCCTCATGCATGTGAGGTAAGTACTCTACCACTGAGTCACATCCCAGCCCACAAAATGTATATATCCTAAACTTTTGAAACTTCAGAGAAAAAAATAAGAGACCACTGTTAATATTGAAAATTTCTGAAAATCACATGCAAAAAGGTGTCTATGTATCCCATCTAGCACCCTGCCTAGTACATTACAACCAAAAAAGTCATATCTGCTAAGTTGAAAGTCAATCACTCATTTTAGGGACTCAGAGGAACAGTAAATGAACCCAGTGAAGATGATCCTAGTTTACCCAGCCCCCCCTAAATATAAAGTTTTTGGATTTGTACAGAGCTTTTGAAAGTAACAAAATCCAGAATTGTTCCTCTAATATCAGAGGCAAGCTCAGGGAGTTCATGACCTTAAAATGCACTTGTCTACCTTTGGCTAGCTGACTTGAATTGCTGGAAACTTTTTTTAAAAGTACTGAGCCTTCAAAAAAAATGTTTCTAGTAATTTGCATTCATTGGTCCTATGAACGTTGATTGCTCTTCTCTATCATACTTCTAATTTCTGAAAATGTTAGCCTCTTCCTAATTTTTGTAATTAATATTTGTATAATAGTGCTTGATTTACAAGCACTTTCACATGACTTATCTCTATCCTGTATAACACCAAGGAGACAAAAGGAGACACTTAGAGGCCAAGTGAATCATCTAAAGTCAAATGCAAGTAAATTCAGTGTGTTTGCAATATGCTGATTCCTTATAAATCATATTCTTTCAGTTGCTCCTACTGTTTTTAAAATATATGATATGATTCTTGGACCCATTGGTAGATGCATTGAACATTTATTACACATATGGGTGGTGCTATTCCTTGTATTTTACATTTCTGAGAAAAAAATAACATTCTCCATGAATCTGAGAATTTTCCTATAGTGCACTTATCTAAGTGCTACTGAACAGAAAATACAATATAAACCATTAAGGGGCTTGTCCAAGATCCAAGTATTCATAAAAAAGAAAACAAACTGTGAAATAGGAACTAAATGACACTGAAACAATATCAGAAAATTGCTTTCAATCACTGATGTTCATTTGGTTGTTTTATTCTGATAATATATGCAATGCTGGGCATGGTGGCACACACATCTCAGCAACATAGCAAGACCCTGTCTCAAAATAAAAAATAAAAAGGGCTGGGGATGTGATTCTGTAATAAAGCACCCCTGTGTTCAACCGCTAGTACCACAAACACACACAAAAAAATACACAATATATATATATATATATAAAACACATTTTTTTTTAAAGAGAGAAAGAGAATTTTTTAATATTAGTTTTCGGTGGACACAACATTTTTATTTTATTTTTATGTGGTGCTGAGGTTCGAACCCAGCGCCCCACGCATGCCAGGCAAGCACGCTACTGCTTGAACCACATCCCCAGCCCAATAACACAATTTTTTAAAAAAGAAAATAAAAATTTTAAAGTGACCAAACATATTTACAACACAAAGTTGATCACTGTAACCATTTTTATGTGTACAATTCAGTGATAGTAAGTTTATGTGCAATGTTGTACAACCACAACCACTCTCCATTTCCAGAATATTTTCATCATTCCAACAGATCCATAATTTTTTTAAAAATTTTATTAGGTGTTGATGGACCTTTATTTTATTTATTTTTAAGTGGTGCTGAGGATCAAACCCAGTGCCTTACACATGCTAGGCAAGTGCTCTACCACTGAGCCACAACCCCAGCCCCATAAAGTTTTATATCTAGTGAAAATAAAGTTAATATAAAAAAAATTTTTTAAAGTATATTGTGACTTATTTTTACTTATTTATTTGTGGTGCTGATGATTGAGCCCAGAGCCTTGTGCATGTGAGGCAAGCACTCTACCAATTGAGGTATATTCTCAACCCAAATTAATTGTTTTGTTCAGGTTCATTTTAGGTACAAAAGAAAAAAAGACAAAACTACTTCTCACTGACTTTAAAAACAATAAGAATCAACTCAGATTTACATCCTACTATCTTGGTTGTAAACATAAAAGATGTTTTGCAACATGCTGTAACACATTAAGACAAAAAAAAAGACCTCCACTCTGGGGGCAGCTATATCTACTTCTCAATCAGCAGCCCAGCCTCTTTCCCCAACCCAGCCATTTACTATTTAAATCATAATAGACTGAGATGATGTTTAATCATTCTTTTAAATCTAAGGCAATCAGAAGTCACTCCCTGTTCCTGAGCTGGGACTGGAGCAGGGGCAAGAACATTACCTACTGCCTCCCAGGACCTTATAAACAATATCAAACCTATGCTGGGAAGATCATACTGGCCCTTCCAACGCCATCAATTTCTCACAGTTGGGGGCCACTGGAATCCCACCTACAACTACAGTCCCATCCAGGAATTTGTCATGCAGAATCCAGGGAGTTCATTATCAATCTATCTAGCTCAGAGCCTAATACTGGTGACTGCACTATTGTCCTCTTCTGGGACTTAGTATCCTTGTGATATGGCAGTTCTGGCAACTGGGTCTCTATCTCCATAATCTGTTCAGGACCTAAAAACCTACAGCCTGCTTTACTCTTACCAGTTTTCCTAGGGACTCCTATGTTTAGAATTCCCTTCTCCGAACAATAACTCCTAAGCCTGGCCTTTATCCTCAGAGTGTCTGATTCAGTTGATATGTGGTGGGGCCTGAGAATCTCCATCTCTAACAAATTCCCAGGGGATGCTAATGCTGCTGGTCCAGGAACCACCCTTGGAGAATGGTTTAGTTTACCCATGTTGTCTACCACTGTGATCTACCTCCTTCCAGGATACAATCAAGCTGAGGTGTGAAGGGCAAGAAAGGAGCAACAGCAGAAGGGACCACATGCCCTCAAGTCCCCAGTGAGAAAATTGAGGCTGGCACTAGGGAGATATGGAGGCCAAAGCACTGCCTGTGCCTGCAAGTCTATTGAAGAGAGGTTATGACCAGACACATCTGAACCGAGTGACCCATAATTATCAATTTAGAATGGGTCTTTAGACTTCTGTGTAAGTATACAGAAATATTGCCTTACATTTTCTTGGCTTAATGTTTAAATTAGCATGCATTATTTGAATACTGGCATCATAAATGGAGAGCCAGTGCTGAGGCACACAATGGAGAAAAACATTTCAATTTGTTGTAGTTCATCTATACGTTCAGCCAAATTTTAATCTGGTGTTTTTGTAACTACAAAATAAAATAAAATTAAGCAGCAAATCCATATATCACACACAAGAATGAAGGACATCCTAACTTACTGGGTCTATCTCACCTGAGCAAATGCAATGGCTTGTTGTGGGTAATAGATAGAGGCAGCTAATCCCATGAAAGCAGGTGGATACACAAGCTTCTTTATTTTTGAACCTAATAAACAAAAGGTTGTACACACCATCAGATGATTCATTATCTGTCTCACCATTACAATTTACCTTATACATTTAATACTGAACAAGATTGCTTTGACCTTAAATTGAGAGAATGCATTTAGTAACAGTACTTACATGCCTTTCCCACAGCTTTATTAGAATATAATTCACAAAATTCACCCATTTAAAGTTCAAAATTTAATGGCTTTTAGTATGTTCAAAGAGTTGCATAATCATCATCAAAAACAATTTTATTATCCTCAAAAGAAACTCATACCTTTGGGCTGGGGGTGTAGCTCAGTGGTACAGCATGTGCTGGGCATGTGGGAGACCCTGGGTTCCAGAAAAAGGGAAGGAAGGAGAAAGGAAAGGAGGGAGGGAGAAATGGAAGGCAAAGAAATAAGGAGAAAAGAAAGAGGAGAGAGGGAGAAAAAGGGAAGGTAGAAGGTAAGGGTGAGGGGTGGGGGGCGAGAGAAAGAAAGAGAAAGAGAAACCCACCAATATCCATTGGCAGTCACTTCCCAATTCCCCTTCCCCCCCCGCCAGCCCTAGGCCACCAACAATCTACTTTCTGTATCTATGGATTTGCCTACTCTGAATATTTCATATAAATGGAATCATATGTTCCTTTGTCATTGGCTTCTACCACTCAGCAAATGTTTTCAAGAGAACCACCATTTCTAAGGAAGCAGAAAAACATTATTTTGAAATCAAACAAACAAATCAGAATTCTGGTTTCTAAGGTTTATGTTTTTCTAACAGCAAACTGGCTTCCTATTTAAATAATAAACACAATTGTTCCCTTCCTATTCTTCCTGAGACTTCATTAAAATAACAGTAAAAGAATAAAATACAAATTTAAAAATCCACCATGAAGAAAAATGTGTGGAGAGGCCACTGGCAGATAAGAAGAATCAACTGGGGGTATAGATCAATGGTACAGCACTTGCCTATCACAGGCAAAGGCCCAGGTTCCATCCCCAGCACTGCAAAAGAAAAAAGTGTTAACCAATTTTCAGAAACTGAAGAGTGAAGAGAAGTAGCCTTAAAGTCTTGAAGAAGGGTTATAGCTAAAGAGGGAGCAGACCTGTCCCAGGCAGAGATGGCATGTACTATGGAGAGTGGAAGTGACACCCAGGAATCAAGACAGGGGACAAGTGCAAGTCATACATGGACAAATTGATCCCTTCCTTTCCCTATGCAATCCCAGTGCAAAACTGCCCATGGCCAGGAATTCAAGCCAGGCCAAATTTTTAAAGCGCGGCAGGGTATTACTAAAGAAATGCCAGGGGTTTTCTACTAACAACCAAGATAGTTGTGTGTGTGTGCACACAGTTAGTGCTTGAGAGTAAAGCCCTTCTAAAACTGATCCTGAGTCCAGTCCAGCTCACCCTGAGGCAGAAGTGTCTGTCAGCAAGCCCCATCTAACACAAAAGCATGCTTACTAGCATTTCAATTGCCTCATTCTGAAACCTGACCTGACAACCAAGGATCACCAGTTGTTGGAGGAAAGCCTAGAACCTAAGACAAGCAAGGGAAAAAACCCCACGGGAAACAGAACTTCAAAACAAAACTAGACCTGTTATTAAGTATCATCAAATAAATTCAAGAAGCAACTACATTAAAAGAAAAAAGAATTCTATGAAAAAAGGAACATTCAGGGAATAAGAAAGAGTTCAAGGAAAGGAACAAAGTAAAAAAAATCTAAAAGGAATGAAACAAAACAATCAAGAAAATATAAGATATATAGGGTCATTTTTAAACAACTCAACTGCTAATTAATAGAAGTGCAGCAAATTTTCAAAGATGTGCCATATAGATATCATCCTTTAGCTGAAGGCTGGGAGCCACCCAATGTCCAATCAAGGAAAGAAAACATCTATATAGTCACAGCACCATAGAAATTCAGAAAACAAAAGATTTAAAAAGATCCTTAAAAGTTCGAGGAGGGAAAACAAAGAATGACTTCAGAAGGAACAGGTCTGGCTATTGACTCTCCCATCTATATGCCAGATGCTACAAGACCCAGTTTTCAAAGTTTTAGTGGAAAACAAATGATATCACTATCTAAACTATCACTTGGTATAAGGGCAGACATGCAAGGTCTTGGAAAGTTTGTCTCCCATATATTTTTAAAGAGACTCTTTTTTAAAAGAAATTTAAGCATATGGTTGAACAACATGGCAAAATAAACCAAGGAGAAGATAACCCAGAAGATAAGAACATGGGGCTCAAGCCCAAGAGAGCATAAAGGAAGTCCTAAAACAACAGCTGTGTTGAAGTCTGAGGTCAGGCTGCAGAGGATGGGAGCTATGGAGAAAAGAGGAATTGATAAACAACAGGATGCTGAATTTGGAGAAACCTGAGAATGAGGTAAAAACAAAAAGTGGCAGAGGGTGAAAAAGGAGAATGCAGGTGGACTTAACATTAGAAATAGTCACTGAGGGCTGTGGTTGTAGCTCAGTAGCGGAGCGCTTGACTAGCATGTGTGAAGCACTGTATTCAATCCTCAGCACCACATAAAAATGAGCAAACAAAATAAATGTATTTTGTCCATCTACAACTGTGTGTGTGTGTGTATGAAAAAATAAAAAAAAAGAAGTAGTCTCCACTGAGAGGCATGGATGGTGTTTTTGATGGATACATGTTAGGGCAATGTGTATTAATAATATACAATTCTACCAATGCAAGTGCTGCTTATTAATTTTATACTTTATTTTTCTTAAAAAAAAATTTTGTGGGGCTGGGTTTTCAACCCAGGGCCTCAGGCATGCTAGGCAAGCACTCTACCACTGAGCTACACTCCAAGCCCCTGGTTTTAAACTTTAAACAGATAAATATTCAAAGATAAAACTGGGGCTATTGAGAATATGAGTATTATCGACTAGACTATTAATAAGTTAATGTTTCGGGGCTGGGGTTGTGGTTCAGTGGTAGAGCGCTTGCCTCACACATGTGAGGCACTAGGTTCGATCCTCAACACCACATATAAATAAATAAATAAACAAAATAAAAGTATTGTGTTCATCTACAACTAAAAAAATATATTAAAAAAATGTTTCTCTCCAAGTCCTATTGCCTGGGTTAAAAGGATATAATTATCCTGGAACAGAAAAATCTGTTATTCCTCAGGTCTTCCCTGTCCACTTGAAGCTTTATGCCCAAGCAGGTGGGGACCAGCTGAAGAGACCAGCAAAACTAATGACACTCATTTTTCACTTCTCTAGGGAAAGCTAATAAGTAGCAGCTCTTGGGTTTTGGGGCCCTGCTGGTCTACACAATGAGCTGGAAGGTCCACACACACACCTTAGGAAGGAGGTATGACTGCATGCCCGCATGCCCACCTTCATGCTCACCCCTCCCAAAAAGCCAGTGGTGTAGGCAGTGAGTATCAGCGTTGCGAAAGGACAATTACTCACTGGCTGTCAGTGAGGGGAAGAGCCACCAGAAGCACAGCTCTCACTCTGGGAGCACTGTGTCACCATTATAGTCGCAGGCCTCCTCATTAACTTAGGCACACTACTTAGCGGGTGTGCTCAAGAAACCCTACCAGGAGGGACTTCTGAGCCCATCCTGCTGCTGCATAGGGGATTATCTCCCTGGAGGGGCCTGAAAACCACACTTGTCACCCATAAATGAGTCTACCATCCCATTTATCTTGCTCAGTGAACCCCTCTGATGCTTTTCACCTCAGGCCCTTCTAAATGGCCATGAAAAAAAATTTACTATCACCTGTGAGTGCATGAATGTGTGCATGCACACATGCATGTGCCTATGTGGACATTTTTTTTTAAAAAAAGAATGAAAGTTTCAAATTATTTTAATGCTACCAGGCCCTTCCAGGAAGGGAAAAAAAAAGCTAGGAACAAATAAGCAAACAAACACAAAGGGATAGGACCCATGGTAGCAGGTACACTCTGCCCAGGAGAGTGCAGTCTCCATCCTAGAGGATGGCGGACAAACACCTGATAGGACAGGAAGTTACCCATAGCACTGAAAGCTTTCTTTGGGCTTGCAAGACTCCCCCACATGCTCAAACAACAGAGAGGGAGGTAGAAGCTTATCTCACTGGATTCCACATTCTAGTCATAGCCACAATTCCAATACCCCTGGCCTTGGGATGTTTATAAATCCCAAGCACTATTTAAATGACAATGGAATCCTTTTCTGAACAGCTTTGCAGGAAATAAGGGGAAAGATATATGAAAAATAGTGTTGCTTTGCAAATTGGTTACTAAAATAAAGAAATGGAAATTTAATTCTCATTGCTTAGTACAAGATGAGAGAAAGGCAAGGAGACTAAGATACCGTTCATTCAGCAGGTGAATTGGGAGTAGCACTAGGGCTGCATTTACGCTCCAGATTCTAAAATAACACTTAATGCATCAAGAAGAAAGAGTTCTAAAACTGGTGAAATAGGTATCAAACTATGGTTCTGTTTTAGGGGGGTCAGATTACAGGGTTCTTTATAGGAATTTCTCTTTAAGAATTTAGGTTTGAAGCTCAGTTGTAGAGCGCTTGCCTTGCACGTGCAAGGCACTGGGTTCAACCCTCAGTACCACATAAATGTAAAATAAAGATATTGCGTCCATCTAAAACTAATAAATAAATATTTGTTTTTAAAAAAAGAATTCCTGTAACTGGAGCTGGGGTTGTGATTCAGTGGTAGAGTGCTTGCCTAGTATGTGTGAGGCACTGGGTTCGATTCTCAGCACCACATATAAATAAATAAAGGTCCATTTACAACTAAAAAAATATTAAAAAAGAAAAAGAATTCTTTAACTGAATTTTATACCATAAGCATTCATTTTAGAGTCAGCAAAACTTCAAGAATTTCACAAAAACTTAAACTCATCATAGTAAAGTCTTTTATCATCCTTTATTTTTTATAAATGTTCTGTAATCTAATAGTGAGTGTAGTGTTATTTTGGGGTTGGTGGTGCTGGAGATTGACCTAGGGCCTCATATATGCTAGGCAAGTGCTATATCACTGAGCAATGCCTTCAGTACCTACATAATATATTTAAGTTGACATTTGTTAGCTTTTTTTATTGAGATGGGGTCCTGCTAAGTTGCCAGTGCTGGCCTTCAACTTCTGATCCTCCTGCCTCAGCCTCTGGAGTAGCTGGGATTACAGGCCACTAAACCCAGCTTTAATTTTAAGCATTTTAAAATTTTTTACATCATTACTGACTGAAGCCATGACACATCAAAAAGTTAATAAGTTCTCTATTAAGTTAGTGCTCTATTTACTGTGATTAATAGCCTGACAATAACAGTGAAACATTTAGAAACAGTTTATTTCTCAGGTATGAAAGACTGAACAAAAATTCACTCTAGCCAGGCATGGTGGCGCACACCTATAATCCTAGAAACTCCAGGGACTGAGGCAGAAGGATCCCGACATCAAAGCCAGCCTCAGCAAAAAGCAAGGCACTGAACAGCTCAGTGAGACCCTGTCTCTAAATAAAATATAAAATAGGGCTGGGGATGTAGCTCAGTGGTCAAGTACCCTGAGTTCAATCCCCAATGCCAAAATAATAATAATAATAATAATAATAATAATAATAATAATTCACTCTGTACCTAAGAGCAGTAAAGAGTTGAACAATAAATGTACTTATAAGAAAAAACTAATTTCTTTTCTACAAAGAGTACAAAATTTATATTTGCTTAAACAGAATGGAGTGAATGACTATATTAATTACATATTAAGAAGTCAATGTTCTGTTAAGCAAAGTAAGTCAAGCTCATAAAAACAAGTACCATATTTTTCTCTCATATGTAGAAGCTAGAAGCAGGGGAAAAGACATCATGAATAAGGGAGACTATTAGAGGAAGAGAATCAGGAAGGAGAAGAGAAGGGTCAAGGGAAATATTGTTTTATGCATGTACAAATATGCCAACAATGAAACCCTCTATTCTGTATAATTAATATGCACCAATAAAAATGCTTCTTATGTCTAAAAAAAAAAAAAAAAGAAGTCAATGTTCAGGAACCAACTCATTATTCTGAAAACTGTTCATTGAAAGTAAAGAACCAAACATACCCTATCTTTCCCACAAGAACTGACTGTTCAAAAAAAAAAAAAAAAACCCACAAAATTGCACCCACCTCTAGTGAAAAGGAGTCCAACAAGGCCAGCAAAACCAATAACACCAAGTCTTGGAAAAAATCCAGGAGGTGCATTTTGGAGATATTCATAGCTATCTATAATAAAATCAGATTGGAAAAAAAATCATAAATTACTCATTAAAAACCAAAGTCTTACATACAAGTAGTACATAACAGTATCAAAAGCTTTTCAAACCACATATTGTTTGTATGCTGCTAATAAACTTCTTTTATATTCTTTCAGGAACCAAATATATAAGCCTAGGAAAAATAAGTATCCTTTGCCATCTGAACTCATTATTTGAACTCAAGAACAATAAATTTGGATAATGAAGGAAACTTGTGGGGAATAGCCAACTGTTGGTGGTGACAGAATAAATAAAAATAAACATAACACATAAGCCTATTCACCATGCCTTGTGACTCCATTCACATAATGCATCCTCTCCTCTCCCCTTCAATGAGCCAGTCTCACCCAGATAAGACCTAGCTTGGGCCCTATCGCCTCAGAAAAGTGTTTTCTAAGTTCATCAGCCCAGACCTTTTGTCTTCATTGGGAATCACATATTTATTCTCTATACCATCACTTGGTACCTAACTCTATAGCACACTGCACTTAACTATTCAGATGTCCCAGGAAACACACATCTGAATAGTTAAGTGCAGTGTGCTATAGAGTTGGAGAATATAAGCTCCTAAATGGTGGATTTGTGATACTTGTTACATGTTATCTTCCCTCAGTGTTAACAGCGGATAGTCATTCCACAGACATTTATTAAGAACACTGACAGGAGATGAGAAATACTGGATGAATTAACAAATGAATTTCAGCTAGCTCATGACTTACAAAGCCATCCTGTATGTCTCACAGCCTCATCTTCAGCACTCTCTATCTCGTTATAGTCCCACCTCCAAGTCTTGATCACACTGTGTCTGCAACACCCACGTGTTGGTGTGGCTAACACTGGTCCTTGAAGATTCATCTTAAAAATCCTTCCCCTCACTGCTCCCAACTCCCCAATCACTATTCAACTAGTCTCCTTCCTCTGTACCTTCAATAGTGGTCTGTAATTATTTCTGTATTTGCATTAGTATTGAATAATTTATTATATGTATCTTACTGGTTGTGACCACTTTCTTAATCAACTTTGATCTTCAATGACTGGCATGATGTGACTTGACAAACATATGCTGAACTGAACCAATAAGCTAGAATACTGAGTAAATCTCTCCCCCAGAAAACACCAGATACTTAAAATTTTCCTTTCATGATTCTTTGGGAGATGTGATAATCATTTTAAACACTATTACAGTGCTTGTGTTATACATTTGCATTAACTTCCACCTGGTTAAAATTTTTACTTATTTTGTCTTCAATCTAGTCTTGACTTTCTATCCTCTCAACTTGGTTTTCTGAGGCAATTTTCTACTTTCCTTTATTTTTGCCTACCAGCATAGTGTTGTTTAATTCTAGACATACACATAAGAACAGTTGACAGGAGGAGACCCAGATGGCTTTTCGCGTGAGCTGAGCAGAAGTAGGTAAATTACAAAGAAATAGGGAAAATGATGTTTCAAGATTGCTCTTGAAGCCAGAGCCCAGCTTCTGGTAACATGCCTTCACTGTAGCTTCTGGAAAATGGTCTGAGAGCTTTGGCAGATAATAACTCATAATGGAATGTTTCTGCTTTAGAGTTTTTGCAGTAACTGAGTCCAGGAAAAGAAAAAACAAAACAAATACTGCAAATAATGAATGAAAAGGCTTCTTCAGTCCCATTTTTTTTTTTTGTTATCATGAAAACACATCCTTTTAAAAACAAGATTTTGATTCACCAAGATGCACAATGAGGGGAATGAAATATGATCAGTCTCTGTTTTACCAGTTCCTGACATTAGTCAGAATGTAGACTGTGAGCTCAGTTTATGAGTACAGGTAGGTGATAAGTGGCCTATATATGAGAAACAATCAAGGACAATGAAAAAAAAATGTAGGAACACTACTAATTATGCAATAAGACCTTTCCCAGGCACAGCAGCTCAGTTCCTTCCTGCCTCTAAACTTCTATAGCATGTAATAATAGCAATGTAAGTTAACTATTTTGATTCTAGGAATCTACTGATGAGTTAGTGTGCTGTACTACATTGTACCTGGAAATCCATTTTGTTAAAAACACAGTATATCTGCACTTGCTAACCCTATAATCTTAATAATGTTGAAGAAACTTAGGGGATATGAGCCTCCTGAAATCTGGATGAAAAGAACAGATTTTCTTTCTAGAAAAATTCACACAGTTCTAAAATTCTGCGTAAGATTTAAACAAATCCATATATCTCTAGATTCCATTCATAGAACTCCAGTTAAACAGTTCAATATTATTGAAGTAACTGATTATGCCTAATAACAAAATGACTTACCTAGCCCCCATTGAACCAAACTTTGCATCTTGGGCTTAGTTTTGGAGTATGTTTCCTAAAAAAGTAAAAAGGAACAGAATGAGTAGAATTTGCTGATTATAAAGTAACAATATATATATACTTTACTGAACATTTTTGTTTTTGATGCTGGGAACTGAATCCAAGGCCCTGGGAGAGCTAAGAACATGCTCTACCACTGAGCTACACTCCTAGCTATTAACAGATTTTGAATAAAGAGATACTTTCTGGGTTCTTTTTTTTTTTTTTTCTTTTGTAATTTTCCCTTCACTGCAAACTGCTTAGCAGAATGGTTTCCTATTGCCACAGGGGCAAAGATTCCAACTACAGTGCTTTTAACAACCCAGCATTCTTACTCTTCTCCTAAAATGGAAGAAAATAGACTAAAGATCAATCCCCTTGATAATTTAGAGGCAATCCTTTTCCTATGAAATTAAATTTGTGTTTCATATTGTCTATTTCCTGGTTTTGCCATTATTTTATAGCTTACATCTGGAAAGTACCCATTTGAAGCAGAAAATGACCAGCTTCAATGAGACAAAGGATCAAATGACTCAGTTTGGAGAGATACCCCAAAATTCTGAAGCAAATGAAGTAACAACATTCTTTTAATAACAATAAAAAAAAGCTTTGTAGCCAGGCAGTGGAACAGGCCTGTAATTCTAGCACTCCCTGAGGCTGAGGTGGGAGGATCCTTAAGTCTAGAAGTTTGAGAGGAGCTTGGGCAACATTGAGATTCCATCTCAAAAAAGGAAAAAAGAAAAAAAAAAAAAGCTTTGTATATGAACATCAGATGATCCTAAAGGAAACCAGGGACTAGCTAGAAGATATCCACCTTCAAGACCTCTACAGCAAAGATGGAAAAGGAGACATTAGGGTATTAGAAGGATCAGAACTGCCATTTAAAAAAAGGATTTATTTTAGATAATTCAGTTCAAGCCAGAAAAAGTTACTCTCATTATTTTAAATGGCCTTAAATAATAAATGCTGAATTTGGGGGAAGACAGAAAGAAATGAATATTTCTTCAGTAAAATCCATTATAGGTTTCTCTTCCACCCATTAAAGAGAAAGAAAACCTACAGGTTGAAATACAGAGTGACAGTCCACTTCTTTTGCTAGATTAATATTTTACTATTGGGGCTGGGGTTGTAGCTCAATGGTAGAGTGCTTGCCTAGCATGCGTGAGGCACTGGGTTCGATCCCCAGCACCACATTAAAAAAAGTTAAAAACAAATAAAGTAAAGGTAAAAAAAATATTTTACTATTAAAACAAATTAGATCTTCAAGGAAGGACTAGAAATTGGTGGTCTGAAAAAGGAACCAGGAATTAGAAATATTTCCATTCATGAAAACTTCATTCCACCCAGGAAAATAAAACCATTACAATTAGAAGAAAATCATTTAGAAGTAGTGCAAACAGATATGCTGATAACTACTTTATCATCCAGAGAGGTGTTTTACTGCACTGAATATCATGCATAAAAGGAAAAGGAAAAGACAAAAACAACGTTAGGTTGTTGAAAGGTAAAAAGATAAAACACTTTCATTAAAAAAATATATTGGGCTGGGGGTGTAGTTCAGTGGTAAATCATGTACTTAGCATGCACAAGGCCCTAGGTTCAATCCCCAGCACCAAAAACAATACAAAATCAGACATACCAGAAATAACAATAGTCAAGCTTACATGACACAAAAATATTTACACAAATTTATTGACCTTATGTTTTTTCTTTCTTTTTTATTTTGTTTTGTTTTTTTATTTGATTTTATGGTGCTAGGGATTGAATCCAGGTCCTTATACACGCAAAACATGCTCTCTATCATTGAGCTACACCTCAGCCCCTTGCTGACTTTATCTAAACTATTTACAGACAGATTAAAAACCTAGAACAAGATAACAAAGTCTAAGCACTTTACAACACAATACGTATAAAGTCTTTAGGTATTTCATAACTCACTTAAGTATAAAGGCCCAAATTATATTATTGATAGAGGTCATGGGCAGTACTTTTTTATCTCACTTGGTAAACAAAAACTCAGCAGTGGCACATGAAACTTTCAAATTTTAAGACAAGCCCTGGATAAAAATTGAACTTGTAAATCTCAAGCAAAGTAAATCTGACATTTCATACACACCAACATATTAGTTTTTATTCATTTTTTATTAGTTTTTATTCAGTTTTCAAAATCAAGATGAAATATGGCAAACATGTATCAATACCTACAAATTCTGTAAATTGCAAACTTTGGTTTCAGGTGTTAAAAAAACACAGAAATACTTTCACTCCCATCATGACAAATGTCTGACCTAAAACATAAGTTAGAGACAGAAGCCGACCTGTACCTGTAGTTCATTGGGACAAACAATTCAAATATGTAATTCTACCCTATTTTGGCATCTACCTTTCTGTTACAGCATTTTAAATGCACTAAAACCATTTGTTTAAAGTGACACAGGTGTCATATACCTTACATAAAATGCTTAGGACTAGAAGTATTTTATATTTTAGAAGTTTTCTTTTTATTTTGGAATACTTGCATAAACTATACCAGTTGAACATCTCTACTCTGAAAATCCAATATCCAAAATGCCTCACGATTAGAGATGCTCAGTTTATAGAATCTCTAAGAAAGAAAAATGTCCCAGTTTTAGTATGTTTACATTATATCCGTTTACTTTCATTACAGTCCCATATGCTCTCTAGTAAACACAATGTTTTCATAACCACAACCAACAAGGCAATTACCAGCCCTCTTCTCTCTAGTCAAGGTACAAACCCCACCTAGGGAGAGGAAAATTTTCCCTGCAGCTACAGCAACTGGTGCCACAAGGAATCCAGGGCACTGTTGCACCTGCTCTCCCTGTGGCACTGATGAACATTTGTAAGCAGAGAACTCTTAACCTGGACCCTTTTATTATGCCTTTTTCTAAAATCATGTATCCAACATGGACTTTTTTTCTTACCTTTTTGTTATTGTTGTTGTTTTGGTACCAGGGGACTGAACCCAGTGATACTTTATCACAGAACTATGTCCCAGCCCTTTTTATTTTTTATTTTGAGACTGGGAATTGCTAAATTGCTTAAGGCCTTGCTAAATTGCTGGGGCTGGCCTCAAACCTGCAATCCTCCCAAGGAGCTGGGATTACAGGTGCACTCCTGAGTCACCAGGATTACAGGTATATGCTACCATGCTGGCTCTATATAGACTTTTCATTATTGACTCTAACAGCTGTACCTGACACCAACTGGTATACGGCTCAAAATGATGTCGGAGCTGTGAGATGCTTTCTTCAAGTTGAGTCCTCGGCTCCTCCACATATTTACATTGACCCTCGGGAGCTGAGTAGAGTGAAAGCTGCACACATTCAAACAAAAATAAAAAAGCATACACAGTAATGAGATCATGTAATAAATTATCAAATTTGTAGGTGCAATATTTCTAATAATTTATAAATTACAATGACTCTAAGGGTTACACACAACCTAAAACTTTACTTCAGATGATCTTTGCACATTATTTCCTTAATCATAAGGATAATGACAAGGGGCTTGGGTTGTAGCTCAGTGGTAGAGCACTTGCTTAGTATGTGTGAGGCACTGTGTTTGATCCTCAGCACTACATAAAAATAAATAAATAAAATAAAGGTATTATGTCCATCTACAACTAAAAAAATAAGGATAAGGATAAGAGGGCAGAGCTACATGGTATCATTTCCCTCCTCATCCACTGATGGAAAACAAAGCACCTTTCTTTCATCCATTTACACTGGTATCTGGTATTTCACCCCAGGTTTAGTTTAGAAAAAGGAGTCTATCGCTCTAAAGAGTAGGTTGAGGGGTTGGGGTATAGCTCAGAGGTAGAGTGCTTGCCACATACGTGTGAGGCACTGCGTTCGATTTCCAGCACCACATATAAATAAGCAAATTAAATAAAGGTTTATCAACGACTAAAAAAATATTTAAAAATAAAGAAGTAAAGATATTGTGTCTATCTACAACTAAAAAATAAATTATAAAAAAAGAATAGGTTGGGGGGGGGGGGTTTAAAAATGCTTGAGAGTAACTGAAGAATAACTGAATACATAGTTCAAATGATCAGTCTGGTGCTAATCAAAGGAGAGCAGGTTTGTTCCCCACCCAGAGAATAATTTTCTTAGACACTACTGGCTGCCCTCTTCACTCTCAACAATGCTATTGTCCCAAAGCCTGAGAAAAGAGTAAAGGGCAAAAGATAAGCTAATTAGCTTTATATAAACACCTTTCAAGTAACCCTACAAGGGACTAAAGGTAAAACTGTACCTCAATTTATTCAAAGGAAACAGAAACTGAATATCCAAATAATCAGTGGGAAGTACAGACAAAAAAAGAATCCAAACAATGTAAAGATTTCTTGTTTGATTATTTAATGTATACTAAGTGTCTACTTAGGATTTTTACCAGCCAAGAAGCAGAGAGAATCAGATCTCTGATTTCTTTAAGAAAAATGTGAATGTTTTCTTGGCTTGATCAAGCAGTCCAGAATCAGGAAGGCTGCTTAGAAAAGTGAGTTGCAGCTGGGCATGGTGGTACATGCCAGTACTCCAGTGGCTCTAGAGGCTCAGGCAGGAGGATTGTAAATTCAAGGTCAGACTGATCAATTTGGCAAGGCCCTAAGCAACTTAGTGAGACCTTGCCTTAAAATGAAAAATAAAAGAACTAGGGATGTGGCTCTGGGCTAAATTCAATCCCTAGTACCAAAAAAAAAAAAAAAAGTTAAGCTGTATTTATAATCTACTGGGACATGGCAGGTTCCCCATTAAAAAATCTATAAAATATTTCTTAATTTTACCCTTAGTTCATCTGTTAAAGTTCAATACCACCATTAAAGTTCATCTGTTGAAAAAGCCGCAGTTTACTAATTTCCCACAAAGAAAACAAACTGTAAGGAAATATATTTCTTTTTAGTTATATATGATAATAGAAATATATACTATGGCATAATTATAAAAGCATGGAATATAATTTCTTCTAATTCAGTCCCCAGTATTTCTTTCTTTCTTTCTTTGGTACTGGGGATTGAACTCAGGGGCATTGGATCACTGAGCCACATTCCCAGCCCAATTTCGTATTTTATTTAAAGACAGGGTCTCACTGAGTTGCTTAGCACCTCACCATTGCTGAGGTGAGGTGCTAAGCAACTCAGTTGGTTCCACAGCTTAACTATTGTGAATTGTGCTGGTTTGAACTCTGGGAACTCTGGGATTACAGGCATGTGCCACCATGGCGGGCCAGTCCCCAGTATTTCCCCTTCCCCTCCCTTCCTTCCACCCCCTGTTGCCTTCTCTCTACTTTATTGATCCTCCTGCTATTTACTTATTTTTTAAATTAGTATCTTATGGATGTATGTGATGATGAGATTCACTGTGGTATATTTATATATGTACATAGGAAAATTCATTCCACTGACTTTCTCTGTCGCATCTCTCCTCCCTTCCTTTCATTGCCCTTTGTTTACTCCTCTGATCTTTCTTCTATTCTTTTTTTTTCACATCCCTCCCCACCCTTATTTAGGATTAGCTTCCACATATCAGAGAAAATATTTGGCTTTTGATTTGGGGGGGACTGGCTTATTTCACTTACCATGATAGTCTCCTGTTCCATTCATTTACCAACAAATGCCATAAAGTCAGTCTTCTTTATGGCTGAATAATACTCATTATACATATGTGTGTGTGTGTGTGTGTGTGTGTGTGTGTGTATGTGTATCACATTTTCTTTATCCATTCATCTGTTGAAGGGCACCTAGGTTGGTTCCACAGCTTAACTATTGTGAATTGTGCTGCTATAAACATTGATGTGGCTGCATCACTGTAGTAAACTGATTTTATTTTTAAAATTTTTTGCAGATGGACAGAATACTTTTACTTTATTTTTATATACTGTTGAGAAGCCAGTGCCTCACACTTGCTAGGCAAGTATTCTGCCACTGAGCTACAGCCCTAGCCTAGTATGCTGATTTAAAATCCTCTGGATATATACCAAGGAGTGGGATAGCTAGGTCCTATGGTGGTTCCATTTTTAGATTTTTGAGGAATCTCCATACTGCTTCCCATAGAGGTTATATTAATTTGTAGTGCCACCAACAATGTATGAGTGTACCCTCCTCCTCACATCCTTGCTAACATTGTTACTTGTATTATTGATAATTGCCTTTCTGATTGGAAATGAAATCTCATGTAGTTTTAATCTGCATTTAATTGCTGGAGACGTTGAAGTTTTGTTTTTTTTTTTTTTTTATATATCTGTTGACCCTTTGTATTTCTCCTTTTTAGAAGTGTCTGTTTAGTTCCTTTGCCCATTTACAGATGGGAGAAAATCTTTGCCACTGCTAATCAGGGCATTAATATACAGAATATACAAAGAGCTCAAAAAACTTAACACCAAATGAAAAACACAAATAATCCTTTTAAATATCTTCTAACTGTGCTGGGGTATAGCTTAGTGGTAGAGTGCTTACCTAGAATGCACAAGGCCACAGCACTGCAAAAATAAAAAATTAAAATAATTATCTTCTAACTATCCTCCTGATATACAATTTGTAAAATCTCTTCTACAGTAACTAAGTCAGATGTCCAAAATATATCACTGCATGAACAGCATGTTACCTCATCAACTTTCATGGAATTTTTGTGAGGCGCATCCTTTTTTGGTGCTGCATAGACTCTGAAGGTGAGCAGGCTCAGGCTGGCTGGCCCCACGGACCTCTGAATTATCTGAAATGCAGAAGCAATTTTCAGCCTTCTATCCATGCTACAAACCAAATATATACAACATGACATATTCATAAGCTCAGTCACTCCTGCCCTGAAAGACACATACAAGCACTTCATGAGAAGTAAATGTATTCCTGAAGTTCTGAGGAAGTCAGAACCTAAAATACATTTTTTCACAGACATAAAATTTCAGCTCAACTTTATCTTGATTTTCACAAGACAATAGTTTTTAAGTTTCTCTACCTAGGCTTTCCAGTAAAAAATTTAAAAAAACTATAGCTAGATAAATAGATATTGAATCTTTGGAACATGTTCAGAACCAACTCATCATCTTTCCCTAAGACCTGCCCTTCTTTCTCCATTTCCTCTCTCAGGAATTGTGACAACCTCATCAGAAACTCTGAAGTTAGCAATTTTCAAAAAAGTAATACATTGTTATTAACTATGTTAGTCAATAGACACTATGTTGTACAATATAGCTCTCAAACTTATTCTTCCTATGTCTAACAGAAATTTCTTATTATTTGACCAACATCTCTTCAATGCCCTCCCCCAACCCTCCCAGCCCCAGCAGACCTTTCTAATATCTGCTTCTATTAGTTCAACATTTTCAGATTTCATAAAAAAGGTAAATATATAAAGCAACATGTTAATTACCTTGATTTAGCCATTCCATAATGTACACATATTGCAAAACATCATATTTAGTACACAATAAATGATTTTTATTTGCCCATTTATAATTAATTGATCAACAATTTAAAAAGGAAATTCTGAGGTCATCTTCACCATCACCCTCATCCTATGGATCACTAAATCCTGCCATTCTGCCTATTAAATAATCTCAGTGCTATTTTTTCCTATGTATCCCTTCCTATACAATCTTTCCTTGGACCCTCATTTCTTTCCTGGATTATTTTAGCAGCATCCTTAACTGGTCACTGGCCCTCTAAGGATTAAAACCACCAAACAAGAAAGAATGATTTTTCTTTTTTTTTTAAAGAATGATTTTTCTAAATGACAACCTTGATTATGTTCTATAATCAATAAAGACCTTAAAGCCAAAAGAAAAATGGTTATTACTTTCAATGGTATAAAAACAATTAACCCACTCTGAAGTATTAAGTGTTCATGTTGAAAGATCTTAACTTCAATTAAGATCTTTTGGTATTTATTACCTTGGACTTGTACATCAACCAAAAAGTCTGTTATGACTGACCACAGCCGCCTTCTCTAACCTCATCTGTTAGATGCCCATAAAACCTGAACTCCCTATATTTCTCTCATGCTGCTTTCCAGCTTCATGGGTTCACACATGCTGATTCCTCTAAAAATTCCTCTACCTGCTTTGTCTTTCGGTAGAATTGCCTAAGAGCAGGGAGAATGCATGTTTTTATTTTATTTTTTATTTACCCATTTACTTACATCTATTAAATTCTCCCTACCACACTGGAATCACTTTCAGGATGAGAATGTGTCTTAAATATTGCTATGGCAGTACCTGGCACATAAGAGAGACTCAATAACTATTCACTGCCTGCCTCAATGAGAAACAGAAAGAGGTTAAAAAAAAAGAGTAGTTGTCTTGTTCTATCTAGTTACGCATGACTTAGCATAAAAGAAACTATAATTACTAAGATTTGCAGTGCCTGCAATGTGAAAGATGAGACTATCCTATAATACAAAATATACAATGCTAGATAATATATAACAAAATGTCTCTTGAAACACACACCTAAAGTCATGTACACACAAAAAATAAATTCTCATATTTCAGAAAAAAAGAGCTGAAAGCCATAAAGAAAGATGGTTATTACCTTAAATGGTATAAAAACAATTAACATACCCTGAAGTATTAAGTGTTCCTATCAAAGGTCTTAATTTCAAGACAATGTTCCTACAGATTTCTTTTGCTTCTGCTGATATTGGTCACTGTGGTTTGTGTGCATCACAATTATTCAGCAGGACCAGCAATACTTGATCCAACCTAAGGAAATCAATACCCCTCCTAGAAAATTGCTAAGACTTTCAAAAGGGTCTGGTTTTTTAAAATTCAGTTTTGATTAATCAACATGTAGCTCTTTACCCACCCCTGGCCTCTTTTAAAGAGGACAGGTCATCAGAGGCTTGAGTCACCCAAGAGTTCTAAGCAGTTTCCATGGAGTCCCTCCTGAGCCTGAAGTAAAGGCACACAGGCTGCTGGTATCTGGAAACATGAACCCATTGCTTTCTGCCTTCTGTGTCTGGTTGCTTGAACTGGGGACTTTGCATGGTGTTGAGCTGGTCCCACCTCAGGACTTTGTTTCCCACCCTCCCCTTATCTGCTCCAGCTGCTGCACCCCTCCTTACTCCCCCATCTAGCACTTGTACCTCAAATCACTAGGCAGCTTGGCTCCACAGTGTCCCATCTTGTCCTTGTTTTATATCTTGCCTCAGGTTGACCTTTTTCATTCTCAATTGCTGTGTTCAAACCTTACTTTTCACATGTTACATATGCCTTCTCATGGTCTACCTTTTCAGTGCTCTTTCCATTTTATGTTCTTTTTTTCCCCTCAGTGCCAGGGATAGAACTCAGGGCCTTGTACAACCTAGGCAAACATTACTACTGAGCTACACCCAACTCTCACTTTTATGTTCTTTTTTGGTACCAGGGATTGAACCCAGGGACACTTAGCCACTGAACCACGTCCTCCAGCCTTTATTATATATTTTATTTAGAGACATGGTCTCACTAATTTGCTTAGGGCCTTGCTAAATTGCTGAGACTGCCTTTGAACTCAAAGTTCTCTTGACTCAGTGTCCAAGGTGCTGGGATTACAGGCATGCACCACAGCGCCCAGCTAACTTTTAAGTTCTTAATGAATATTCTCACTCACATCTTTCTTTGATTTTAAAGCTCAACTCATTTGCCTTTTTTTGAGACAGGATTTCACTAAGCTGACATAGCTGGCCTTAAACCTGTGATCCTCCTGCCTCAGCCTCCCTAGTTGCTAAGATAACAGGTGTGTGCCACCACAATTGGCTTCATTTACATTTTTAACATTAAATTTTTAACTATTAATTTCTACTGTATTTTCCCCCTTATCTTACTCATTTTTCTAGATTTAATATTATTCGAAATCTCCCCCCCCCCCCCGTTACTGCCTAAGTTGTTTTCTTCTTTCTTTTCTCCTATTAGTTTTCCTCCCAAGATGCCCAACTCCCATCCCACATCAAGAAGTGTAACCACAGAGTGGTAGCATGGAAGAAATCAGCCCCTGTAGAGTCCCTCTTAGCTTTAACAGGCTCTTGACAGATTAAAAAAAAAAAAAAAGAGGAAAAGCAAACCTCAACTGGAAGACTTGGGAGATCTACAGATGCTCTCTCCATAGACAGCACATAATTTACTCAGGCTTTTTCAACCTCAGCACTATTAACATTTGGGCTAGATCATTCTTTGTTGTGGGGCTGTCCTATGCGCTGTAGGTCTGGCCACATCCCTGGTCTCTGCCCATTGGATGCCAGTGGTACCCCTCAAGTCACAACAGTCAAAAATGTCTCTAGACATTGCCAAATGCCTCCTGGGGAGACACCCCCACATTAAGAACCACTGGTTTACTTGAATAAATATTAACTTCTGACATCTCTCATCATCCAGACTTAATGAAAATCTCCATGTTTTAACTCATGGCCTTAAATCTAACACACATAGTGAAAAGCAGAATAGTCTCCACTCAAAGATGAAAGGGAGTGAACTCAGAAGGGAATATTCTGTAGTGAAAGAAATGAACTATATCTTAATTGGGGTACGGGTCACACAAAGTGTATGCTTTTGTCAAAACTCAAATTGTATCCTCAAATTGTATATCTAATATTGTACAATCTTAAATCTGTGAATGTAAACTTCATTTTAAAAATATATAGCTTCCAGCACACCTCATCCATGCTAAGTTCATGTCAAGATAAAGATGGGAACTTTAGGCCAAGGATTATTCTTAAGGAGTCAGCCACACACCCAACCATAGTAAGGAACTAGGTAGTACTGCCCCGTGTGATGTATGGAAACCCATAGAAGCCTCAGTAAAAAGTTCATTGATGCTGATGTACTCAACACCTTGGGGGGTCACCCTTTTGGGGGGCATTAAAGGGGAGTTTTCTTGGTGGGAGACTACTCTACTCTACCCTGCCTCTGCACATGTATACCTTCCCTACTCTAGATTTGATGAGTCTGGTTTGGAGATCAAAGCCACGCCTACTCTGTTAAGAGCTGCATCTTTCATGAGTGCTAGGTTATAGACTAGATCCAAAGGCTGTGTTTCTATAGATCCAGCCCCTCTGGACTACACCCTTCAGTTACTAGTTAACTCTTGGGATTCAGATGGTGGTGGCAGGGGTCACAAAGGATGGTCCCCAATGTGCTGGTTTGTCTGAGTTTTTGAATATAGCTATGAGATCCACAGTCATAAGGAAAACTGAAATTTGGCTCAGATAGAGTTAATGACCCTCAGCTCTTCAAAACTCAGGAATGTCACTGAATTTCTTGGCTCAATGTGACTAAATTTTTCTTTCTAGTGTGATTCTATTCCCCAGCAAGATATCACTCTATCAAAGTACATTCTCTACCTTAGACTCTATCTTTCAACATTTGTTTTATTCAGCCCACAGGCACCTTAATTGTCAATGGAAACTGAGCAACAAGATTGGCCTTTGATTAGTTGTAACCCTAACATTTGCTATAAAGGGGTAGGCTGCCATTATCTTAAAAGCACTCATTTGCTTCTTTCACTCCACTGAAGCTTGGCAAGGACTGATGACTGCAAAACAAATCTAGCCAGGTAAGCAGTGTTATATATGATATAACAATTACAAGAGGTCAACTGGAATTTCATTTCAAAAACAAATGCTCAATGCATACCTACTCCATGTCAGGCAAACTAAGTATATGCAATCCCTGCTTTACAGAGCTTTCAGGAAGCTTGAGTTTATTAAAAAAAAAAAAAAAAAGACTCAATTAGTATTCT